GAAGAAATACATAAGATTAATGCTGGAATTCCAGAAAGAAATAATGGGGGGAGAGGAGGATGTGGCGATTATTAAAGAAATAATAGAAGAATTTCCCAGAACTAAAGGAAATAAGTCTGTGACCAAGACAGCCTGCTAAATGCCCAAAGCTAATTAAAACATATGTACCTTCACCAAGACACAGTACATGTTAGAATTTCAGAACAAAATCTCCTGAAGCAGAAAAATGGGTTACATACAAAGATGTTATCAAAAATGGCAGGTTAAAAGACAATGAAGCAGTGACTTCAAAATTCTCAAGGAAGATGATTTCCAACCCCAAATCCTGCAGTATCAGTTAAACATGAGCCATTTTCAGACATGCAAGTTCTTAAAAATCTTACCTCTATGTAGCCTTTCTCAGAAAGCAAGTCACAGATGTACTTCTCCAAAATAAGGGGGAAAATCAAGCAATTAGATATGATGTTCAGGGAACAAAGGATCTAACTCAGGAGAAAAGTGAAATTGAGTTTCAGATGCCAGAGGGGCAGGCGGCCTGGGGAGCAATAGTCAAGTCCAGGAAATAAGGAGCTTCATCATCTGAGAATGTATAGAAAATAGTTTTCAGAGGGCTTTTGTAATTTTGTGGTGCTTTGGGGAAAACTTAGTGATAAGAATATAGAAATTTTCAAAGAAAACAAAAAGACAAGAAAATTAACAACAGGAAAAACAGAGTTGTAAAAGAAATGACATGTAAAGATAACCTGACTCAAGTGAACACACCCACATAGTCATAAGATAAAAACTGTATACTCACTGAATAAAAAATTACCATCTCTCTCAATTGAGAGACTAAAGAGAGTAGAAATGAGAGAATGGGATGGTATGATAGCACCCAAATTTTCAATCGTCATAATAAAGTAAAACTTAGAAATGTCAAGAAATACCTGTATAAGTATATAAAGTGATTAATGCATGCCAAGAACAGCTCAGAGTTAAAAAAAAAGATGCTTCTATGGAGCAGGACTTGGCACGGGGAAGTTTAAAGCTGGGAACTTGCACTGTTTATTACAAGTCCTTTAAGATTAGTATTAATTTTTTTGAAATAATTTTTAAATTTTTAAATTGATTTTTAGAAAGAAGAGAGAGGGAGCGAAACATCGATCGGCTCTCTCCCGCACACCCCCTACCAGGGATCTAGCCCGTAACCCAGGCACGTGCCCTGACCAGGAATCAAACCGGCAACCTTTTGGTTCACCTGGCAGTGCCCAACAGAGCTACACTGGCCAGGCCAGATTAGTATTAATTTTTAATATATGTACATTACTTTGTTAAAAACCTAAAATAACTAGGCCTTTCCCTTCGTTGTTCTACTCCTGCTCTTCGAGAGAAAAAACTTGTTAAATAATTTAGCATAAAAAATGATTTCCTAAAATAAAAAAATGCCACAAATATCAAAATAGTGGTAAAGCATGCATTAGGCTCATATAAGTAGTGCTTTTCAAATCAACCATACAGGCATATTTGAACTTTTCTTAGGCAAAGTTTTAAGTATTTGCTATAATTAAAAAAATACAAATGTAAACAGCTTCACAATGTAACAAATATATTTTAAGCAGTCATTGCCTATACCCCCCATTTCAAGCTAAAAAAAAGTGTGAATTTACTTTTTGATAGTGAACTCTCCATATTGCAGCTGTTCTCCATCTCAGGATATCCAACATTCCAACTTAAATGCGTATAATGAAGTGATGCCTTAAAGTATTGTACTTTTAAAGTTCTCTTGGTGCATTTAACACAGAAATGCTAGTATGATTCTTATTACTTTAGCCAGGTAAGCACTAGACTTTCTGGCCAAGTTACTAGAGGTATCAAATAGATCAGAAATGTTTCCCTGCGTCTGACAGCCAGAACATTTTTAAGAGATTTACTCTCAACCTGGCTTAGACTAAGAGGGAAGGCTCATGCTTACTACCCATAAATTTCTAGAAGCCTTTCTAATTTGGACTTTGTAATACATTAAAAATGGTGCCATGACATGCTTAAAAAACATTTATCCTTAAAAATACTAGAATGCTCTTTGAAAACCTATCACACTTACTCTTTTAAGGTATTCTAATTTAAAGAAGTTTAGAAAAGGGAAAAATGAACATAAAAAAGTTTATTTCTAGCCCTGAAAGAACAAAATTATTGAACAAAGTCATCAAATACAGCAGTTAATATCAATGTAACAATTAAATAATTGAATGGGATTAAATTAAAAGTCAATATAAAATTTGAAGACAAAACAGAAAAGCTGCTTTCACTTAATTACATTTCTATCTACCAAGACCCCCCACCCCCCGAAAAAAGCAACACATTCCTACCAAAAATGTTCAATTCCAAATATATAATTCTCTGCTTTTCTTAATACAGGATGAAAATTTGCTTGACAAATTTTCATACATTTCTTTCTCCCTCTCACTTAGCAACATTCTAGAACGGTGAATGAGAGAAACTTCAGTTTTCTCAATGCCAGGCCAGTGCTTGATTCTTTGTAATTCCCACAATATCTACCACAGCCAAAGTGGTCAATAAGTGTGCTGAGAAAAAAAAGTATGTATGTGTTTTCCTTTCTTATACACACACATTAATATGCACTATGGAAAAACTGATTTTAATTGTTTAAGTATCTGTTGTGGGAGCAACAGACAAGGAAGAGAATCATTTTTTAATACTACTATGAAATTCCATTATAAAAACAAAAAAGAGTTCTAATCTGGATTTTGACTATGTTCTAGAATTGATTTTTTTTTTGACATTTCACTAGATATGAAACTCAGTACATTTTAAAACTTTTAGATTAAAAAAAGGATGCAAATTCTTTAAGCACTCAGTTTTTCCTAACTATAGCTACTGCTTGATCAGATCTAGAATTCTTCTGGCTAGAATACAGTATATTTAAACAAACGTGTTTATGTGAGCCCTAAAAGAAATACTCATAGGTAGTTTTAAATTGCTTATTAAAGGCACAGGTTCATTTAGGACTGGTGGTAACTAGATAAGCAGCTTAATATTTGTATGTGGAAGGGAAGAAACTTTATATTATGTGCCAGGCACTCAACACATGAAGAGAGAATTGTGTTAGCCTTGGTTTATGATGCTATCACAATCACTCTATTTGTTTACTATTCTAGGTAGGATAAAATACTCAATATTTTCATGGTTTCCCAGTTTTAACTGTCCCTAAAAGCAGCAAAAGGAACAAAAGGAGAAGGAAACTTTAAGACTGCTAGAGTCTAAAATATAATAAATAAGTACTATAGTAATACTGTCCTAATAACACAAAAGGACTAATGTAACTTTTAGATTTCAATGGGAATTTTCATTCTAAAGTGATGACAAAATGGGTGAATACAAAAGGCAGGTAATTAGAAAACATGAATCTTGATTCAAATATAATTTTTCTCTCAACAAGATCTAAACATTTTAATTTAAAATTAACTAATAAATCACAATTCCATATTGCTTTTAAGATTATTTTGTTTAAAAATGACACATTCCAGGATTAACCAAAGTATATTTCTATTACAAGTTAGTTTATCCAAGTAAGTAAAGAATAAACCACAGTGTAGCTCCCTTAACCCAGGAGTCAGGTTTTAATGACAAAGTCCGTTGCCAGCAATGGACGTGCAGGTAACCATCAAAAGTTGTAAATACAAACCCCAAACTGCTTCTATAAATTGAAAAGACCTTTGTTGAGTCACAGGAATAAAAATGGGGCATTGGCACTGTGTTCAATGAATATGGTCTTTATGACTTATGCACAGAAGTGCCGTCTACAGTGGTCATGATGGTCAGTCTTATCATCTAGTTGGTTTTCATTGGTAACATCTTCTTCACCATAATCCATCCAGACAATTTACAAAGAATGTTCAAATCTGGAATTCAGAGAGGCAATGCAGCTTTCCACCAGAAGTAAACCAGCTTGTTTGTGTAATTTAGAAATAGCTGTAGAAGGCCAATATAATCCAGAGAAATATGAAATCAAGAATCAAATTGAAAACAGAGACCATTAAGTGCTGTAGATAAAAGTTTCATTAACTATTTTATCATTTCTGTGAAAACCTTCCTGCGCTATCAATAAAAAACAGCCATTTCTATCCTTACCCCTATATCTTATACAGAGATGATGGGAATGATAGGAAATAAAACTATATTAGTTCCTCACTAATGTACTCCAAAACATCAAAATTGGTTTTATTCATGATTTGTACTATTACAAGATAGCAAGTAAGTATGAAGTTAATTAGGAGAACGGTGGGAACATTCCCATGTTCCAAAACCAAACCACAGATTTTTCTCTTTTACGTAGCTCTTGGTATGCCAGAAGGGACAATACTGCATCCAAATGCAAAACAATAAAAAGATAAAAAATAAAAAAAAAGGAGAGTCAGAAGAGACAGGGAGGGAAAAAGAGAAGAGAAGGCACTCTAATTAATGCTATAGGTCACAGACCTTTTAAATCTTTAAAATAAAAAAAAAGTATTGCTATCAACAAGCACATTTCATTTTTCTTCCTTTCTCCAGTTTTTTACATGAATATTATTTACTTATTTGAAAAAAAAATCTAAAGTAACTCAACATCTGAAATGATCCATGAATTTATCAAGAAGTACTTTGTCACTTAAGTTCTCAGACAGTAAAATGTTGGTAATGGGTTGGGAACAATGTTTATAACAAATCTCTACAATTTACTGGTCAGTAGCTGCATCTCTATGTAACTGACAATTCTCTTCTGTGAATATAATCTTACCTAATTATTTTAGAGTTCACCAAGGTTCAAGTCTCTCACTTTGTCTCTACTAGCTCCAAATATTTTTCTCCTTTAAATGGAAAAGACTTAATTTTTAAATTCTGAAAAGTCTATGGTTATTACATTATATACC